AGATAAAGTGATTAGGCCTAACAAATAACCATTAATTTCAGTCTTTCTAGCACCTATAGTTAGTCTGATAGATTTAACCTAAGAATTCCCAACTTCTAAAGGTACAAATCCTATCACGAAAGACCTCTAGCAGATAAAGTGATTAGGCCTAACAAATAACCATTAATTTCAGTCTTTCTAGCACCTATAGTTAGTCTGATAGATTTAACCTAAGAATTCCCAAGTTCTAAAGGTACAAATCCTATCACGAAAGACCCCTCTAGCAGATAAAGTGATTAGGCCTAACAAATAACCATTAATTTCAGTCTCTCTAGCACCTATAGTTAGTCTGATAGATTTAACCTAAGAAGAATGGCTTTAGTGTTATTATTACATGAAATATTCCCAACTGTTCAGAATTTGTAATGTGCTATAAACGTTTATCTTTATTCTGAATTCATTTGCAAAACATTTTTATTAACTGTGGCAGAGTTATAAAGAAATATTATTAGTATAAGAACATATAGTTTCTGTTAATACATGTGTATCATATATTTATTGTAGCAAATCATGTATCTACCAATTCTAGAAAGGACCATAATACAACTGAATGATTTCTAACCAACTGATAATTCATCTGCTTGGATAAGCAAGACGCCCTCTATCTTTGTTATTTAATTACTTTTTTGTGGGGAGTAAAATAAGCTGTGTAAAAATACGTCAATCTGTAGGAATTACATTTAGAAGAAAAAATGTTCCATTTCTGTTAAAATTGTACACATTTAGCTATGCTAATGTTTTCAATAAAGATTACATCTATAAATAAAAGTCTAAGAAATATTTTTGTGTTATAATATTCCAACACGAATGTATATATATGTAAAAAAAGGAAAAAGAAAGAAAGGCAGTGAGTTAAGAACGCAATTTCTAATTTACATTCGTGACCTTACTCATCTTAATGTGTTACTTAATACTAGCTGAAGATTAAATTACATACGCACGTTTTATTAACGCCACGATAATACAAATTGCAACGTTAAACGTCCTTTATGTGTCTACTGACTGACTGACAGATAACACAGTACTGGATATTGGTGCGAGTGGTTAAAACAGGTGACCCCTCCAAGCGGGGAAGAAAGCTAGCAGGTTTTTTTTATTAACTCTATAATTACCAAAATGGAAAATGGTTACAGGTTACGTATCCACATTTAAAATTAGTTTATGACTTAAGTCTATCATTTCTTTATCGAAATGTGCCTGGCATGGCCAGGTGGATAAGGCGCTCGACTCACAATCTGAGGGT